GGGGCTGCGCCGCCGGGGCTGAGCCACCGCCGGAGCCGCGAGCCGAGCGGCCGCCGGGCGCGCCCGCACCGCGGGAGGATGGGCTGTGGCGGGAGCCGGGCCGATGCCATCGAGCCGCGCTACTACGAGAGCTGGACCCGGGAGACCGAGTCCACCTGGCTCACCTACACCGACTCGGACGCGCCGCCCAGCGCCGCCGCCACCGACAGCGGCCCCGAGGCGGGAGGCCTGCACGCGGGTGAGCGAGCCGGAGCGCGCCGGCCCCAGGCGCCGGGAGGCCGGGGCCGACAGGGAAGCGGGAGGGATGCGGGGCGCCGGGGGAGGGGGGAACGGGCGGGCAGCCAGCCAGAGATTTCTGTGCGGCAGGTGGGGGGCTGGGAGGTGGTGGTGAGGAGGACAGACCGACAGGACCTGCGTGCTGACAGACCCACGGACCCAGGCCCAGGGAGCGGGGGGAGGGGGGCAGCGCGAGCCCCTTGGAGAGGCTGAGCCCAGTCCCCGGGGCCACGGGGAACCCCGCGCTCTGCCTCCGCCCGCGCACACTCGGTGCGGGGACCGAAGCGTGGGGCTGGGAGACCACCCACCCGGCACGCACACCTGCGCGTCAGCCCACCCGCGCGCGGCGCGCCCTCCAGCCCCGCTCCCCGTGGACCCTCTCGGGCCGCGTCTGCCACCGCGGGCCGCCTGCCCCTCTCTGCCGTAATTTATAGACGAGGCTCCTGACCCAGATTGCCTGGGTGGAGTCTTCCTCGTCGCTTCCCCTTCGCTCCCGCAGGGCTTCGAAAACCAGAATCCCAGAACCACCCCCCTCCCCTCGCCCCATCACTAGTTATGCACTTAAGCTGACTTCTCAAGCAGCTGTTCCAGAGCGAGGACTTCCCTCCCTACCCCAAGGTGCCTCGGTGCTTTATGTGGATTAGAACTATAAATTAAATACGCTTACCATTTCCCCTCCGGCAGAAATCTAATAGAAGGATCTGCAAAGAAGTTTCTGGTCCAGTCGCAGATCAGATTTTTTTTTTTTTTTTAAAGCAGACACTAATAATTGTAGAGTAGAGATGAACATTGACTCTTGCCAGAGACCGAACCTTTAGTCATCAATGTGTTGGTGTAAAAGGAAGAAAACCTCACTACTTATTAAATGAATGTTGTCAAAAGCCAGATCGTTAGTGGCATAAAAATGTTTTAACTATTTACTGACTCCTTTAGGTTGTTGGCATTTTTGAATAATGAACTCTAAGATAGAAAATGAGGTTAATTTGAAGCATAATATCTATTGTAAGGAGGAAAAAATGTGAAATGCTCTTAAAAATTCAATAATACTAAACTCCTGCTTCCTACATAAGAGCTGCCACTTTAATCTTAAGAATCAGTGTCTCCATCTTTTAGGACCAGAACTGTCTCATTTTTCACATGAACTTCGTGATTCCCTTTTTTTTTTTTTAATTTTACTTTTTAATGTTTATTTATTTTTGAGAGAGGTGGGGGGAAGGGCAGAGAGAAAGGGGAGATAACAGAGGATCTGAAGCAGGATCCAAGAGCAGAGAGCCCGATGGGGGGATGCGGGGGGGGCGGGCCTTGAACTCATGAACTATGAGATCATGACCTGAGCTGAAGTCAGACACTTAACCAACTGAGCCACCCAGGCACCCCAGTGATTCCCTTCTTTAAAAGGTAAGAACTGTGGGTACAAGACTTAAGGGCAGTATTTGTCTCTAATGTTTCTGACTCATTGTAGCAATCATAATGGTTACTTTGTGTTGCTGGTGCTTTCAGCAAGTTTCCAAATGATGTGTTGGCTAAATTCAGGGTCAGAATGAGGATAAACTTTCAGAGGGACCTGGTAAATGTTGGATTTAATAGCATTTCCCAAGGAGGAGTGGTACTTCTCAGCAGAGTCAAAGGCCAGAGTTGCACTCCAAGGAAGAATGGTTTTCAAAGATGTAGTGTGAAAAAGAACAAAGTACAGTTTCAGGGAATGGTTGCCTTGGTGACTGGGAGTATGTGGTGCATGTGTGTGCATGCATATGGGTATGAGATGGTTATTATGGGATGGCTAAATATTCATTTCCAGTGCTTATTCCTTTATTAGTCTGCCATCCTGACTCATATCCCATTGTGCCTCATGAGATCAGGTCCCTGCAACAGGTGGGACCTAGGACAAACAAGTTTATTTATGATGCCTTGCCGAATGTCAGACAGCCTTGCCCGATGGTGGTCCTGAAGACCTTCATCATTCCAGGACAGGACCCTAAAATTGGCAAGACTCTTAAATGGGAAGGATCACTTCGATTCACTAGAAATTTCCATCAGCCTCAGGGGAAAGGGACGTTTCTGAAGATCAAGATGAAATCAAGGCTTCCTTTGCAGTGCATTGGCATTCCCCAGGGCCTTTAGAAAAGTGGCTTGTTTCCTGTGACTTTTTCAGACTGGAAACTGGGCATCTGTAGTCAGAGTGGGTCATCCAAGGAAGCTACAAATCTCCTAAGTTTCAGCCACCCTGGGAGATTAGCCAGGACCCTTTATTCTTTTCATCCTCTCTGCTCCCCCTGCCTCACCCACCCCCTGCCAGTGTTCCACCCGTGAATTCAGTCCTAGGCTTCTGGAGGGCACCTTAATGCCCCACGGCGACTGTATTGTGATAGGAAGCCAGAGGGTACCGTTTCCTGTTTCCATCAATCTTTGTCTGATGGGGGACAAAAGGAAAGACTGGATTTAAGACCGTCCAGATTGTAAAATCAGAAAAATGTCTTCATTACTAGCATTCCGGAGCTGAAAAGGGTCTCTGGAGGCTGGCTACCTATTCATGGTAGGATTCAATTAAATTGCCCCAGTTTGGACATTCTCTCAACGACTTCACAGCACTTATTTATCCCTTAGTCCTCAAGAGTCTTTTCTTTCTGTGCCCCTGGTCACTCTCCTTTAGCGTCAAGTTGAAGCCACCTTTCTTCTGGCCACCCCAACCTCAGGAGCCATGCGGGTGGAGAGTAGACTAATTCATCTTTATACCTTCGTGCTAGCACACTGTGGAGCACATGTGTGACCTCAGGTTGGGATATCATGCAGGTTTTCTGAATGAATAGGCACTTTGTCTAAAGGTACCCTGCATTCCTATCAGCTCTTTCTAGATTCCCTCCCTCCTCCTTCTCTCTTCTTTCGGCCCTTGCTACTGAAGTTTGCCCACTTGGATCCATTTAACCTAGATTCTTCAAAGTGTCTTTGTCATCCCACGGCTGCTCTTTAAAACAGCACCCTATTCCATGGAAACACCCAGCCCAGTTCAAAGATTCCATTTCTTCCGTGGCACCCCTCCCCCCCCAACTCTACACCCATGTCTACTGAAAAGTCCCATTTAAGCATGTCTGCTTGTACATCTCACTTCAGTTTCTCTTAGTCTAATCCAGACTGAGGCCATATCACATGATAGTGTTCAATAAATATTTGTTGGATCGATTCTGCATTTTACTGCAGGAAGCGGGGGGGGGGGGGGGGGGGGTGGTTTTCTGCCAGTTCTACAAAGGAAAGTTTCTTGCCTCCTCATTACTCAAAAAGTGGATCCGGAGCCTCTGGCTCCTATTTTTGGAGATCATCTCCAAAAGCCAGCAAATTCAGTTAGGTTTTTAGATTCTGCTATTAAGTAGCCTGGAATCGAAGACTTAGCCAAAACCACAGTATCTGATACCCATTGCTTCCCTGTGTCGCAGAAGCCTGTCTGTCTGTCACAGGAGGAAATTAAATTTATCTGACATGATTCAGTCTTCATAAAATCAGTTTGCTGGATTGATTTTTACTTCTGTTGTCTGAGAGGGTCTCTCAGAAAGGGAATCTCTGAGGTTGCCTTGCCCCAGCCTGCTCAGCCATTCCATACGTAACGTCCTAGATTTACCTCCATCTGATCATAAGTCCTTTAATTGCCCCTTTTTGTACTGTTAGGTATTTTCCTGGTTTCTCTAGGGAGTAAAACATTTCAAATGTCTCAAAAGCCCTTCTACTTTCCAGTTTTAAATTACTTTCCAGTTTTAAATTACTATAGCACTGTAATAATTTAAATTACTATAATAATTACTTTAGTAAATGCAAGTAAATGGAGGATTACAAAATTAGAGACTCACAGCAAAACAGTTTACCTAAGTAAATTGATATACATAAAATAAAGTGAAGAGCACTTAATGCTACCATCCGCTAATGTATATTGATGACTCACCAAGGGCCAGGTGCTGTACTCAGCAGCACTTAATGTAAATCAGCTCACTTAATCCTAACGGGCCGAGAAGAGGTAGGAACTGTGACCCTGTTTCTTTTGCTAGCAAAGGCAAGTGGCATAGAGTGTGTGAATGACCTTTCCCGGTCCAGTACTGGGATCCAGCTCTGCTGCATACACAGCCCGTGCTCCTAAATACCGCTTTCTTGATTAATGGGAGATTCACTGCAGACCCGTTGCTTTTCCAGTTGATGGGACTCAAAGTCTAGTGTGATCTCTGGATATTCTAGTCTGGTCTCAGCACGGTTTTCTTCTGCAGCGTCCTTGAGGATGGGGTATGTCTTCCCTGGGCAAGGAGGCCTCCCCATACTTTTGTGGAGCAGTTCCCCTTGCAAGAAACTCTTCCTGCTGCCTTGTAAGTTCTACCTGGTGAGCTCCAGGCCCTTGTAACCAAGTCTTGTACAGGCAACTCGCAATATTTGAAGAAACCCGTTGCATCTCCTGTGGCCACTGATTCTGCGGCCCCCGAACACATGCATATAGGTCAGTCATTTCTCAGACTTGTGGGGACCTGACCACATACCTCCAAAGACGTTGTCTGGCTTGTCAAAGTCCCTCCTGATATAAGAGACCCGTTGTTAGCTCCAAGCTTGTGGTGTTAGCTGAGCAGCGTGGGGCAACATGTGGACACTGAACCTCTCCTGATGCAGGTAAAATCAGGTTAGGATTTGTTTTCCTGTGGCTGTTGTTGCCTATTACCTTGATGACTCACATTAAACGTGTGATGAGTTAAAACCCTTAGGGCTTTCTTTCTAGTTAAATTTAAGTCCTGTGGCATCAGAGATGTCTGTGCTATATATCCAGCACCAACACCTGGAACAGCGACTGGAACATAGATGGCACTCAGTAAATGCTTGCTGAATGAATGGTTTATTTCTCCCATAAATCCTGCATTCATACTATTGATTTCAGGAACCCAAAGTTGGGATTTTTAAATTTATTCCTATTAAAGTATATCTCGTTAGTTTCAGTTTAAT